GAAGAATTAATGCTTTTAAACTGTGGTGTTGGAGAAGACTCTTGAGAGTCCCTTGGACTGCAAGGAGATCAAACCAGTCAATCCTAAAGGAAATCAGTCCTAAATATTCATTGGAAGGATTGATGCTGAAGGTAAAGCTCCAATCCTTTATCCACCAGATGTGAAGAACTGACTCCTTGGAAAAGACCCTGATGTTGGGAAAGACTGAAGGCAGGAGGAGAATGCGACAACAGAGGATGAGATGGTTAAATGGCATCACCGACTCGATGGACATGAGTTTGAGTAAGCTCTGGGAGTTGGTGATGGACAGAGAAGTCTGGCGTGCTGCAGTCCATGGGGTCACAAAGAGTCAAACGCAACTGAGTGACTGAACTGAAATGAACTGAATAGTCTCCATGGACTTCTAATTTAGAATACCACCTCCGCTTTTTTTTTGCCTTTTCAATATTTACGTGCTAAAGGTATCAGCACACTGTTAAGCAACTCTTGCCAGTAGACTGGGGAGGCCAGAATGTCAATAGGTGTGCTCAATTGATCATCATAAGCCAATCCCACTCTCCTGCCCCACTCTATTTTAAACAGAATAAAAATTCAAACTCCTTAGCATGGCCTTTCATAGCCTAATATCAATCCATGTCACCAGCTTCATGTCCTCCTTCTACATTCTAAGAAGACAGCATAACACTCTTAAGTGAATTTTGAAATCTGGAATTTCTACAGTAGAGAGTAATCAGGACCCTTTAAGAGTGTTTCCTTTTAATTTTGTAAACATTCCTCATTTCCATTAATATTTGGAGGAAGTGGGAGTCTAAGCCACCATGATGCTTTTGAGTGAAGAGTGTTTAAGAATCTCCACTAGGGCACAGGGTTTCTTTTATACCATTACAATCCCTTGTGAACCAAACACCAAGCAGTGAAACAATCATTAACAAGGGGTCCTAAAACGAGTAACTATATTTTTGTTTTTGAGTTAACCAGGTTAACTGAAGCAACCTATGAATGTCCAAAGGTAATGTGCCTGCTACAGATGGGGTGATCATTTAATTTACCTTCCAAACTGAGACTCATGAGAACAAAGTGGGTGCTATTAATCATTATACTAAAAAACACATATCAACTAGAATGTCCTGGGCTGTGAATCACTTGCAAACCTTTCTAGTAGTAAAGTTTCTTTTTTTCCTTTAAGACCTCCTGCCACTTTCATTGCATCTGCTTAAGTATACTTGATGTCTAAGTACTCTCACCATTGGTATTTACTGAGTCCCTACTCCACGGCAGATTCTGTGCTGGGAATTCAAGGTGAACAGACAGACCAGCTCTCTGTCCTCCTGGGGCTTACATCCCAGGAATTTTTTTTTTTTTACTATTAAGAAAAAATTACTTTCAATCCTTGGAACACAGGAAAAATAGTGGAAGATCAGTTGTACTAAAGCTATTACTGATCCTTAAAAAAAAAATTAGAGCATAACTGCTTTCCAAAGTCATGTTAGTCCCTACTGTACAACAATGTGAAGCAGCTGTGTGTACACATATATCGCCTCCCTCTTGATCCTCCCTCCCGGCCCCCACCCCACCCCGCTGGAGCACGGGGCTCAGCTCCCTGTGCTGGACAGCGGCTCCCCACTAGCTAGCTATTGCCCACATGACAGTGTAAACAAGTCAATGCTCCTCTCTGCATTCATCCCATGGTCTACTTCCCCCAATGGGTCCACAAATCGGTTCTCTACATCTCTATTCCTGCCCTGCAAATAGGTTCATCAGTACTGTTTTCCTAGATTTCATATATATGTGTTAATATACAACATATTTTTTTTAACAGCTTGACACAGTTTGCAGAAGAGGGCAAAGGCTTTCGAGGTATGTATAACAGCATCCATTGACTTGTTCAGTCACTAACTAGCATCTCTGAGTAAGATACCTATGCAGTTCTCATGGGGCCGGGAGGGTGAAGTGAAGTGAACTCCTCAGTTGTGTCTGACTGTTTGCGACCCCATGAACTGGAGCCTACCAGGCTCCTTCGTCCATGGAATTTTCCAGGCAAGAGTACTGGAGTGGGTTGCCAAAGTTTCCTCCAGTGGATCTTCCCGATCCAGGGATCGAACCTGGGTCTCCTGCATTGTAGGCAGACGCTTTACTGTCTGAATAATACTTAAATCACAGGAATGTTGTTAAGGAGAAATGTTTGTACAATGCCCTACAGGTGGTAGTACTGCCCTATGATCCCAGGTAACACCAAACTTGAGCACATGGAACTCATCAAATCAAGGAGATGGGAAGGGGAGAGAATTGGAAGGAAAATGTGTCCACATCAGGCAGTGAAAATAGCCGGAAACCAAACTGCTGTCTTCATTACTTGAGCCACAGGTAATGCAGGTTAATGTCTGAACAATGTGCATCAGTTACTAACGTGAACCCTTTCCTGGCTAGCTCTAACGCTTCTCACCGCAATATTCTGCTCAGAGGCCCAGTTCTAAATTCTCTAGAATTCCTCAGCTAGTCTTGTGGAGACAAATCAAGAGTGAGATTTGACAGGCAGAACCCAGGTACTGGGGAGAAACTGAGGAGAAGTGGAAAGAGATTCTGAAAGAGATGAGGAAGTAAAGTACTCCTCATGGGCCCTTCTGCACCTTGCAACAGGACACGGAGGGGCAGAAAATAAAGCTGGTCTGAGAACTGATTCACTCTCCTGCCAAAAGCTTCTGTCTCTGCCCTGCAAAATCAGCATGCGAGGAACGTTCCTAAATCAGACAGATCAGAACACTGCCCTGCTGTCCCCAAGTAACTCAAATTAACTGAAGAGCTTCTAATCAACTTAAATTTGAATATTTATACAGTTAAAAATAGCTTGTTGATGGTGTAATATGAGCACAGGTGATGAGAAGAATCCACTGGTAAGAATAAAAGAAAAATGAATAAAACGTTCTAGTATATTCAGTTCTGGAAAACTGCCTTTAGTACCTCTAACATATTCACCTGTGAGCACCCTGACCCAAACTGATGCGGGGCTTCATTTGGTGGAATTTTTTTTTTTCCTATCTGAATTGTTTACTGCACTCTTAACAAAAGCAATACATATTCATTGTGGGAGGTTGGAAAATTCAAAGCAGTCCGAAGAGAAAATAAAAAGCATTTAATTCCAGCACTCAGGGATAAACACCTTGGTGTAGCTCCCTTAAATGTGGGCAGTTGTTTACAACGCGACACCATCATCACCCACGCTCTTCATCCACTCTGATTACTGAGATCAGGGTAACAGGCAGGGCACCGCAGTCTCTGCCATTTTTAAAACACTGGATTTCCATTTGCAATCTGTGGCGGGCTAAACCCTTAATTAGTAACAGCAGGTGCTGAAGTGCTTAAAGCAAATCGCTCCTGCATTTTAGTGAGCTGTTATTTCTGTCACTCTTATCACCGGAGCAGCGCTGACAATCGGCAGCAGCTGGGCGGGCTCGTGCCCTGACGGGGGCGCTTGCCGGCCACCAGTTTCCCCAGGAGTCAGGGCTTTAAGCAGCTCTATCTGGAGAAATGAGCAAACTGCTCAAAGGGTGCAGTTGGGGCTTCGGGATCTCTTAAGGGTGGAAAGCCACAATCATCTATGTACTAACTACTTGGGCATCAGATGTTTTATTCAGAATTCCATTATGTGCAGCTCTGCCGAATCACACACCCCCAAAATACTGTTTTTCCTGAGTTTAAATCTCTCTCTCTCTTCAGTCTCTAAGTCGCGTCCGATTCTTTGCGACCCCATGGACTGTACCCTGCCAGGCTCCTCTGTCCATGGGATTCTCCAGGCAAGAATGCTGGAGTGGGTTGCCATTTCCTTCTCCAGGGGATCTTTCCGACCCAAGAATCGAATTCCGGTCTTCTGCATTGCAGCCAGATTCTTTACCGACTAGGCTAAGAGGGAAGCCCAATAGGTGCTTCCATTTTGAAAGAATTACAAAAACCTCTTAAACATGGTCCACTTCCAAGTGGTAGTAATTCGGTTCAGAAAGCTTGTTCTCAAGGAGTGAAGAGACTGGAGTATGCACAACACTCTCAGGGGTACAAAACTCGACACCGCCCAGGTTTCCCTCTCACATTTATCAAGACGTGAAATAGAAGAAAGTCAACGCCAGCTAGCCTTGCATCCTAGGGTGGGGTGGGGTTTAGCTTATGCTTCCTTCCTGGTGGGCTGCTAATCCCCTTTCATTATTATCGAAAATGAGTCACAAAAATTATTCTGCATTTCTGCCGAGGGGATGATAAATAAGGTGCGCCCCGCCCCCCCCCCCCCCCCCGAGGCCGGGGTAGGGGCAGATTTGTGAATAGGGTGGGAGGAGGGCAGCCGCCTTTTCCCACCAATGGCGACATCTCGACACGCGTCAACCGGTTTGGGGGTCGGGGGCGTGCAGGGACACTCCGGACACCCCGCCAGTGAGCAAAGTGAAAAGAAAAAAAAAAAAAAGGGCACCCGAGTTGTGCAGACTAGAGACCTGAAGATCAACTTTCCCGTATTCAAGATGGTGACTAGAAGTCTCTATATCCAAACTGAAACGTGTGGAATCAACTTCTGTATATTCAGGCGAAAACATAAAAATTGCCTTTCCCGTTTTATCTGGTCACCAGCCCATGACGTCTCGCCCTCGGGTCGCCCCACCGGTGGTCCGAGGCCCCGAAAATGAGTCTGTGCTGGGCCAGCGTCAAGAGCTCGAGAGGATGACTCTGTGACGACAACACGGCCCGGTCCCCTTCCCTCCTCGGGCCTCTGCTCCTGAGGTGACCGGGCGCGAACGCGACCTCGAAGTGGGCAGGCGCCCGCCGAGGGCTCCCAGGAGCCAGCTGGGTTGCCAGGGAGGCGTCTTGGACTGGCTCGCGCCCCGCAAAGGCCCCCGGGGCCGCCCCCGCGACGAGCTGGCCTGCACCCGGTGGGGCCGTGCCGCCCGACGGGGCCCCGCGCCGGCCCGCGAGCCGTTATAAACGCAGCTGCCTCCCCTTCCTCCTCCTCCTCAGCCTCTTACCTGCCCAGGGGTTTGGCCGAACTCCGGACCGGTAATTGAGGCCGCCATGGCAGGTTGCGCACGTGCGGGTCCTGGGGCAGCCTCACCGCGGGAGGAGCTTGGCAGCCCGCCTGCCTCGTCCGCCGCCAGCCCCGCGCCAATGGCTCTGGGCCCCCAGCTGCGGGGCGCCCGCCCCCGGCCCGCCCTTAAAGTGGCAGTGCCGCCCGTGGGGCTCAGAGTCTCGGCAGGACTAGGCTGGGGGAGGGGGACTTCCGGGGGACGGGGGATGGGGATGGGCCGCCCCAAGGTGCCCTGCGGGGCCTCAGGAGACCCTGTCACTAGCGGCAGCCCACCTAAAGTTCCATTTCACTTGCCCTGGGACCTCACACAGCTCAGGCCTGGGGCAAGGACACGTCTAAAAAGTCTTCAGTGTCTTATGGGAATGCTTTCAAGTTTAAACATTAGGAATTAGAAAATTGGATTTGTTTTTCTTTTTCGAAGACCAAGGGATGGTGGATCCCTATCCTATTCCAAGGATAGGGATGGTGAGGACTGATTTTGGTGCTTTCTTTCCAAACTACTAAGAAACTAAGAGTTTTAGAAACCTTTCATTTTGTCCTGTGAGTCAACAACAAATATCGTCGTCATTTCTCAAGGGAGAAATCTCCAGGTGGTGGCTGCTATGAAACCTGCTTTGTTCAGCCTTGTTAGAGATTTTATTGAGATCCACTGAATGCCCCGACGCCGAGGGATCCTTCCTCTTGTCTTTACCACTGTTCTTGGTTTCTTTCATTGCTAAAAAGTTGGGGTGGGGGTGGGGTGGGGATGTCACTTTGGATTTGGCTAGACTCTTGATCTTACTTGAACGTATAATACACTCGTGCTCTACTTGACCCACCACCTCCCATCTCTGGGCAAGCCTACTGTTTCCTGAGCAGATGGTGGCGGTGTTCTGATTTAGATCATGACAGCGTGCAAAAATATAGTAGTGGTTGCCCATGATTTTCATGCGAAGAAAAATGCAGATAAATTTCTGATGGGATCATTCTGCATTATTTTTGGAAGTAAATGTACACATTTTAATAGATACTAAGAAAGCTGTAAATGGACCGTAAAGAAAGCTGAGCACCAAAGAACTGATGCTTTTGAACTGTGGTGTTGGAGAAGACTCTTGAGAGTCCCTTGGACTGCAAGGAGATCAAACCAGTCAATCCTAAAGGAAATCAGTCCTGAATATTCATTGGAAGGACTGATGCTGATATTTTGGCCACCTGATGCAAAGAACTGACTCATTGGAAAAGACCCTGATGCTGGGAAAGATTGAAGGTAGGAGGAGAAGGGGACGACAAAGGATGAGATGGTTGGATGACCTCACTGTCTCGATGGACAAGAGTTTGAGCAAGGTCCAGGAGTTGGTGATGGACAGGGAAGCCTGGTGTGCTGTAGTCCATGGGGTTGCAAAGAGTCAGACTGGACTAAATAACTGAACTGATCTGAATTTTGGCTCTATTGTTTTTCCAGTTAATCAGAAACTAAGAGTGTTCAGCTAAACATCTGTGAAGCAATTAGCTTGCCCAATAATATCAACATAGGTGAATTCATCCCCAGGCACTGAGGTAGGGGTGAATTGAGGCAGCATTAAGCACCTTCCCCAGTCTGGTAATCAAGTTTATCATTGACCTAAAAGTCTAGATTAGCAAGTCTGATGCTAATAGTGATGAAACTATTGTAGAAACTGACACAGTCATTGCTTTTAAATTTGAGTGGATGATGACTAAATTTATGCAAGAGGAAGTAATCATTTCCTGTGTTGGAGGAAGCAAAAAGGTGATAAAGCTCTTCAGTATCAAAAATATAAGACTCCAGGTTCCATAAGAACCAATCTAGCTATTTGAGAAGTTTCCAATCTCCTAAAAGAAAGAAGCTTACTCTGTAAATGACCAGGCATCTATGGAAACACAATGACACTCACTGGGAGCAATTTTTGTCTCTCAAGAAACAGTTGTCAACATCTAGAGACTTTTTTTTTTCCATTGTCACAACTAGCATCTAATGAGCAGACATCAGGAATACTGCTAAACATCATACAGTGCCCAGAACAGCCTCCCAGAACAGAGAGTTAATTATCTGGGCCCAAATGTCATTAGCACTGAGGTTGAGAGGCTCTACTATAAATCTTCTGAATTTTAACACAGAATTTTAAACCATTTAACTTCTTTTTCACCATCAACATTCTTGAATCATACTCATTTTTATTACTGGAGATAAATGGACAGACGAACTCTTCCTGTGGTCCCCTAGAGTAACAATATGCTAGTTATATTCTTGATGGAAAGCTGAATACCAAGAATTATAAAATATATAAAAAATAATAGAATAATTCTATAGAAATATATTTAAAAACATACTCAAAATTAACAATTCAAATTCCTCTTAGAAAATAGTTTTCCAATCATTTAAAATTATTAGCATTCATATGCTATATGCATTACATATAATGCATATGCTATATGCACTACATTATTTCCCCCCAAAGTAAACTATAATTATGTATTTCTCACAATATTCAAATTACAAATAGGTTTGTAAGTAGTACAGTACACATGGTCTCCTCAAATGAACTCGTGAAGAACCTATTCTCAAAATATTTGGAAATTTTCCACCCAGATATTTTCTAGAAACTGTTCTATACTTGGCTTGTTCTCAGAATCAGAGAAGTTTAGAATCTGATAGGAACCTAGGGATTACCTGATTGTCCTTTCTGTTTAAAGACGCTGAGGCCCAAAGAATGCTCTCCTAAGTAAGTAGGACTGTAACTACAGAGATTGAAAGCCAGAGACTTAACTGATTTCAATCATTTTTACTAATTTTTTTTACATTTACTAATGCACTATGAGGATGAGACGGCTGGATGGCATCACCGACTTGATGGGCATGAGTTTGAGTAAACTCCGGGAGTTTGTGATGGACAGGCGGCCTGGCGTGCTACGATTCATGGGGTCGCAAAGAGTCGGACATGACTGACTGACTGAACTGAACTGACTGAACGCACTAAATTCACTTTTAAAATACATATAATTTTAAACACTGTGCCTGCAATATTTTTGGAATATTGAATCCAAGAGTGTACCATAACTTGACTGTTAATTTCCATTACAGAATCGCAAACAAGGATATTTTTATACTGGTAACTAAGGAAAGTGACCTTTGCTTTTACTTTTGCCATTTCCCCCCATCTCCTTTCAGGCAGTTCATCATAGAATAGCTAGAATAATCTTTTAAAATAAAAGTCAGAATATTAACTCTTTCTCAAAACCCTTCTGTCAGAAAAAAATTTAAATTATTTTCCAAGTCTAACAAGGCTTTATATCATCTGACTCCATCAACCTTATATCTTACCATTCCGAGGACCTCTCATGACCTCATCTTCTTCCTAAAATACCAGGTAAGTGCAAAGCTAGAATATTTTGCTCTGTTTATCCTTCTTCTTGGAATGCTTTTCCCCAGGTTTATCCATTTCATGTAGATTTCTGTTATGATGTCATCTCTGTGGATACTCCAATTAGAATCTAACCCCTCCATTTTTCTTTATAAAATTTTTCTAATGTTATACAGCATATATATGTTTTTTACTTGTTTTTCTCCCCTCTCTAGAAGAGGAAATTTGTATCATTCACTATTATCACCTTGGCCTAGAAAAATGCCTGGCTCATAGCAGGTACTAAATATGTGAATGAATGAATGAAAGTCGTATCAGTAGTTGATTGGTATACACTGACTTGGACTCTGGTCTTTCTGCCTCCAAGTCTACAACCTGTCTTTTATTTCATAATGCCACTCATTTCATCATGGAAAGAAAAAGACAAGGTTTAGAGGAAAGGAAAAAAATATTGCAGGCACCAAAATGGCAAGCTTGGTATCTCAAAGTTAGAATGGTATCAGTTGTGTTGGTGGTGGCACAGGAAATGTGGATAGGTTAGTTTTAATCTCATCCCTTTCTCATTTAAAGTGTGCAAGGCTCCTCTGCTTATCAAATTAACTTCTCATTCCTCAGTGAGGCACTAGGGCACACATTCTCTTGCCCCTATGTGGCTTTCAAGATTCAGCTTTTAATCAAGTCAACTAGATTAAAGTAGATCAAGTGAACAGGATTCCCTGGCAGTGTCCTGGGATTCTCCCCAGCGTTTGATCCCCACAACAGCCAAACTGGCCTCTTTCTTGAGACTACAGTGCTGAAGGGATGAATCACCTGAAGCCTAGAGAAGCCCAGAGCCACCTTCAAAGGACAGGGCAACGTTGGCCAGCGACCACTGCGAACAAAGTTCACCACTCTGGATGTCTCTTCTGACCCTCGCCAGCTGCTGACCCATTTATCCCTTGGTTCTGCTTTCAGTCTAAAAACTCCCCCCGTTATCCCTATATCAAAGAGGCTAGGACCCTTTCTGCTCCCATGTCTCCTTTGTTTAGCTTAGTTGGCTCTCCCAACCTGAAGGCTCATCTCTGACAACTGCATAGTGTAAAGTTTATTAGTACACTTACCCCTGAACATTCTCATTCATCCTGGCTTGGGGCTCTGCCATACTACTCTCTGACTCAAACTTTCCTTTGGTGGTTAATTTGGGAAGAAAACAGGAAAATTCCCAAGGTATTCCCAACTCTGACATCTCTGCTTCAACAATTAGAATGCATTGTAAGTAGCATGATAAGGCAGAGACTGTTTTGTTTTGGGTGCAAAACAGTTCATTTTGCTTCTTTTCCTAATTTTGCTTAAATTTCAACTGTAATAGTATATGCTTTAAAATAACATTCCTTTAAATAATATGATAAAAAATAATGATTAAGTACAAAGGAAATAATGATATCTGTGAAAGAATAAATGTATACGTATAAATGATTCACTTGATTTGCTTACAACAGAAACTAACATAATACTGTAAATCGACTATACTCCAATAAAAATGAATTTTAAAAAGTCTTGATATTTGCCTAAGCCACTGAAATGCTAGAGGAAAAAAACAAAAAAATAATCTTTATAATACAAAGTAACTTTAAAATAATAATTTTTTATGTAAATTTTATATTGGTGTTGAGTTGCTTAACAATGTGAGTTTCAGGTGCACAGTTATACATATAAAATAAGACACTTTGACTTTATTGTGAACAGTT